TCTAAGAAATACCCCTAATAACTTATTAGAACTCCTTATCCCAAATTTATAATATTTAATTATACAATACTCCAAATAAACACTTGGAAAAATGCAATAAAGATAAATCCCCCCAACTTTATCAATTCAATCTAACAAATTTATGTTCATTTCTGACCAAATAGAACCATTCTAAAAATTAATACAATATCTACCAGATAATCTAAATAAACTATTTAACCAGGCTCATTCATTATGTAGAATTCACAACTACCGTTTAACTTCCAACCACATTCTAACTAACCCACCACTCCAAACTTAACCTATGAGAAATAATTACCTTATACAAAAGTAAATCATAAACAGGAAATAGCTCAAGAAAAGACTAGAAAAAGTTATAAAATCAATAGATTAGATGTCGTAATAGAGCTGATTTAATGATTAATGATTAGTTTATAATATATGTGTTAAATCAATAATAATAATTAGTTAAAAAAAATAATTTTATTTTAATAAATTATAATTTCATTTTAATATTTAAAAAATTAATGTTTAGAGACAAAGTGTTAACCTTGATAATTAAAGTCTTTTTAATTTCTGAGTAATAATCAATCCTGTCATTTTTAGAATAATAATTTTTTAATTTAGAATTCTATAAATTTAATATTTTTTTGCTAAAAGTCTTACTAAATGATTAATTTGAATTCATTTTTTAAAGTAAACATTTATTTTAAAAAGAAATTATTTTATAAATTAGATTATAAGTTTGTTAATCCAATAATATTTTAATTTCTGAGTAATAATCAATCCTGTCATTTTTAGAATAATAATTTTTTAATTTAGAATTCTATAAATTTAATATTTTTTTGCTAAAAGTCTTACTAAATGATTAATTTGAATTCATTTTTTAAAGTAAACATTTATTTTAAAAAGAAATTAGTTTATAAATTAGATTATAAGTTTGTTAATCCAATAATAAAATTAAAAATCTTGAAGAATTATTTCTTATGAATTTTTTTCATATATAATAAATGCATTTAAATCTATTATTTTTATTTATTTATAATATAAATCCCATAAATTCTGCAAAAATAAAAATAAAAAAGACAAAGAGTCTTTAATCAAAATTGTTTTAATGATCTTAACAATTAGAATCAAAACATCTTTAAGGAATGGGATTAAAAAAAGTATCAGTCGAATTTTTACATAAACTTTATTTGATTGAATGATAAATTCTAAAACTTGAAAAAATTTTTATGATTATTATTAGAATTAAAAAAAATCTTCATTCTGTAAATTGAGATTGAATTTGAACATAATTTTATGAAAATGCTTTAAAATCTATTTCTTATAAAGAAAAAAAAATATAATTTATATTATTCTTTTTGCATAATTAGATTAGAAATAGAGGAAGTATAATAAAATTTAATATATTGTATTATTAATAGATTTTCAATACTCAAGTCAATAAATTACAACTAATATTGTAATATTTATTGTCAAAAGAACTTATGGATAAATTATTTTGTTTGGAGATTTTAATAATTAAAATATCTATTTTTGCATTATAGAGTAAGAATAAAAACAATAAGAATTTATTTACTATTATTATAATCTCAATATATAAGTCAATTTTTGTTAATCTAATCTTAATTTATTAATTTATTGTATTTCTATTAACAAAATGAACTCTTGCAGAGGCATTTCATAAGAATTCAGTTTAAAAGAGGAAACTCTCGTTGTATTTAAATCCTACTTAGCAATAACTTCAGGGGGTCAATTAAAAATCTTGAAGAATTATTTCTTAAGCTCTTGAATTTATCATTCAATCAAATAAAGTTTATGTAAAAATTCGACTGATACTTTTTTTAATCCCATTCCTTAAAGATGTTTTGATTCTAATTGTTAAGATCATTAAAACAATTTTGATTAAAGACTCTTTGTCTTTTTTATTTTTATTTTTGCAGAATTTATGGGATTTATATTATAAATAAATAAAAATAATAAATTTAGATGCATTTATTATGAAAAAATTTTTATGATTATTATTAGAATTAAAAAAAATCTTCATTCTGTAAATTGAGATTGAATTTGCACATAATTTTATGAAAATGCTTTAAAATCTATTTCTTATATAGAAAAAAAAATATAATTTATATTATTCTTTTTGCATAATTAGATTAGAAATAGAGGAAGTATAATAAAATTTAATATATTGTATTATTAATAGATTTTCAATACTCAAGTCAATAAATTACAACTAATATTGTAATATTTATTGTCAAAAGAACTTATGGATAAATTATTTTGTTTGGAGATTTTAATAATGAAAATATCTATTTTTGCATTATAGCGTAAGCATAAAAACAATAAGAATTTATTTACTATTTATTATTCCTAATTATAGTAAATACAATTTTATTTATAGTTAATATTATAATCTCAATATATAAGTCAATTTTTTTAATCTAATCCTCATTTATTAATTTATTGTATTTCTATTAACAAAATGAACTCTTGCAGAGGCATTTCATAAGAATTCAGTTTAAAAGAGGAAACTCTCGTTGTATTTAAATCCTACTTAGCAATAACTTCAGGAGGTAAAATTATAAATATTTTAAATTTAATTGTGATCAATGAGTGATTAACAAATCCTAACACAAACAGAATAATAAATTATTAATCTTTAACCCTAGATTAATACCTTACAACCCATTCAACCACCATTACCTATGGATATAGGCACGGGGGTGTTGGGTCGTGTGGGGTTGATTTCTACTATAGAGGACCCATTTTTGAAATAAATAATGATTTAGCATTGCTACTAAGATTAAATTTTGAACTATTCCTTTATGTTGATAAGGGAGTTGTTGAATTCTAATATATTTTACATTAAAGAAATTGTTAATAATTAAAAAACACATAATCAAAATAAAACCATACATTATTCAAATCAAACCTAATAACGTTATTAGAAGAATCATTCGGACTTAATGACTGTCTAAATCATATTCTAGATTAAGCTAAAAGTAATAATTATCAAAAATGTATATCAATTATATCCGATGGCTACTTCTTCCCCAAAATGCTTTAATATGCAGGCGAACATTATAAAGTTTAATTCATCGTTTTCAATGCTCGCAAGAAGAAATATTATAGATACGGTCCTTAATCCCACTAAAAAAAATACTTTATTTTTCAAAAGAATACCTAAATAATATATAATTTCATTTTAATATTTAAAAAATTAATGTTTAGAGACAAAGTGTTAACCTTGATAATTAAAGTCTTTTTAATTTCTGAGTAATAATCAATCCTGTCATTTTTAGAATAATAATTTTTTAATTTAGAATTCTATAAATTTAATATTTTTTTGCTAAAAGTCTTACTAAATGATTAATTTGAATTCATTTTTTAAAGTAAACATTTATTTTAAAAAGAAATTATTTTATAAATTAGATTATAAGTTTGTTAATCCAATAATACAATTAAAAATCTTGAAGAATTATTTCTTAAGCTCTTGAATTTATCATTCAATCAAATAAAGTTTATGTAAAAATTCGACTGATACTTTTTTTAATCCCATTCCTTAAAGATGTTTTGATTCTAATTGTTAAGATCATTAAAACAATTTTGATTAAAGACTCTTTGTCTTTTTTATTTTTATTTTTGCAGAATTTATGGGATTTATATTATAAATAAATAAAAATAATAAATTTAGATGCATTTATTATGAAAAAATTTTTATGATTATTATTAGAATTAAAAAAAATCTTCATTCTGTAAATTGAGATTGAATTTGCACATAATTTTATGAAAATGCTTTAAAATCTATTTCTTATAAAGAAAAAAAAATATAATTTATATTATTCTTTTTGCATAATTAGATTAGAAATAGAGGAAGTATAATAAAATTTAATATATTGTATTATTAATAGATTTTCAATACTCAAGTCAATAAATTACAACTAATATTGTAATATTTATTGTCAAAAGAACTTATGGATAAATTATTTTGTTTGGAGATTTTAATAATGAAAATATCTATTTTTGCATTATAGCGTAAGCATAAAAACAATAAGAATTTATTTACTATTTATTATTCCTAATTATAGTAAATACAATTTTATTTATAGTTAATATTATAATCTCAATATATAAGTCAATTTTTTTAATCTAATCCTCATTTATTAATTTATTGTATTTCTATTAACAAAATGAACTCTTGCAGAGGCATTTCATAAGAATTCAGTTTAAAAGAGGAAACTCTCGTTGTATTTAAATCCTACTTAGCAATAACTTCAGGAGGAATGGATAAAAAAGTGGCTCAATCATTGAATAATGTTTTTGCCACAAACATTCATCAATCATAGTAAAATGCAGAAAAATTAGTCTATAATGATTTTGATGTGGCTTTTGCTGTAGGAGTTGTCTTCAAGCTTCTTGTGGGATAAAAAATTGAATTTCTTGATTATTTTTGTAAATGACATTATCATTATTTATAGGTTAGTTTTATAGTTAAGTAAATGATAAATAGAAATACGCTTTAGACCTACTCAAATATACTGTTTACTAACTTGATAAAAGTGACCCAATGTTCTATTTAAACACTTTATTAGCAAATAAAAATATTCCTAATTAATAATTATAACCAGGAATTAGTTTATCTAAAATTTATACATTTGTTCATTTGTGTGAATTGGCCTCATTTTTTAAACCCTTTTAAAAGCATCCAAATTAAATTTTAAATTCATAATTCTCTATGTTCCCTTATGTATTTTGGTAAAGATATGATTAAGTTAATCTCAATGAAGTAAGACCTGAAATAGACTTATACTTTTATTAGCCTTCTTCAACATTGTATTATTTTATTATTATTTTAGTCCAATTCTTGTGTTATAATAATATGATGACCCCCAACTTTCATATCAGATATTTAAAGAACATTAAATTTTTATGTCACACATTTCAACATAATTGATTTTAGATGCTGTCAGTCGTCAATTGTCTCAAACTTCAGAAAATCTAAAAAATCAACCTTACAAAGTTGCAAATTTGAGAGAATTAGGATTAATTTTATTTGCTGGACAACCATAATTAGAGGATAAATTACTTAAATTTGAGAAGATACCAAAAATGTAATCAATTAGAGATTATATGTAGTGGTGAAACTCTTAGTTTTTTAATTAATCCTAAAGCTTCTTTAGAAATTGTAAAGAAAGAATTGACTAAAGATTAAGAATAAGAGATTGTAAAAGAATAGGCATAGTTAAATTAGAATTAGGGTTAAGTCTTTGATATTTTTGCAACATAAATTCCAAATTAACAAAAATAAGTTAATGAGTTGAGAAAGACCATTTCATATTGAATAATAAGATATATTATCATAGAAAACATAAATTATTATTATTATCAAATTATTCCAAATTTTTTCATGACTCTTTTTAAATCTTCCATATTTAAAGGTTTATCTAGATGATCATTAGCTCCACATTTTTAAGATTTCAGCTTATCATCAGATCCTGTAAAAGCAGTAACAATTACAATTAGAGATTGAGTTAATTTATACATTTATTCATATTTCCTTATTTCTTAAGTACATTAATAACCATCCATTTCTGGCATATTTACATCCATAAATATAACACTCATTTATTCTTTAGAGTATAAATCAAATGCTTGTTTACCATTAAAAGCTTTATAGAGTTTAAAATTATAAATATTTTAAATTTAATTGTGATCAATGAGTGATTAACAAATCCTAACACAAACAGAATAATAAATTATTAATCTTTAACCCTAGATTAATACCTTACAACCCATTCAACCACCATTACCTATGGATATAGGCACGGGGGTGTTGGGTCGTGTGGGGTTGATTTCTACTATAGAGGACCCATTTTTGAAATAAATAATGATTTAGCATTGCTACTAAGATTAAATTTTGAACTATTCCTTTATGTTGATAAGGGAGTTGTTGAATTCTAATATATTTTACATTAAAGAAATTGTTAATAATTAAAAAACACATAATCAAAATAAAACCATACATTATTCAAATCAAACCTAATAACGTTATTAGAAGAATCATTCGGACTTAATGACTGTCTAAATCATATTCTAGATTAAGCTAAAAGTAATAATTATCAAAAATGTATATCAATTATATCCGATGGCTACTTCTTCCCCAAAATGCTTTAATATGCAGGCGAACATTATAAAGTTTAATTCATCGTTTTCAATGCTCGCAAGAAGAAATATTATAGATACGGTCCTTAATCCCACTAAAAAAAATACTTTATTTTTCAAAAGAATACCTAAATAATATATAATTTCATTTTAATATTTAAAAAATTAATGTTTAGAGACAAAGTGTTAACCTTGATAATTAAAGTCTTTTTAATTTCTGAGTAATAATCAATCCTGTCATTTTTAGAATAATAATTTTTTAATTTAGAATTCTATAAATTTAATATTTTTTTGCTAAAAGTCTTACTAAATGATTAATTTGAATTCATTTTTTAAAGTAAACATTTATTTTAAAAAGAAATTATTTTATAAATTAGATTATAAGTTTGTTAATCCAATAATACAATTAAAAATCTTGAAGAATTATTTCTTAAGCTCTTGAATTTATCATTCAATCAAATAAAGTTTATGTAAAAATTCGACTGATACTTTTTTTAATCCCATTCCTTAAAGATGTTTTGATTCTAATTGTTAAGATCATTAAAACAATTTTGATTAAAGACTCTTTGTCTTTTTTATTTTTATTTTTGCAGAATTTATGGGATTTATATTATAAATAAATAAAAATAATAAATTTAGATGCATTTATTATGAAAAAATTTTTATGATTATTATTAGAATTAAAAAAAATCTTCATTCTGTAAATTGAGATTGAATTTGCACATAATTTTATGAAAATGCTTTAAAATCTATTTCTTATAAAGAAAAAAAAATATAATTTATATTATTCTTTTTGCATAATTAGATTAGAAATAGAGGAAGTATAATAAAATTTAATATATTGTATTATTAATAGATTTTCAATACTCAAGTCAATAAATTACAACTAATATTGTAATATTTATTGTCAAAAGAACTTATGGATAAATTATTTTGTTTGGAGATTTTAATAATGAAAATATCTATTTTTGCATTATAGCGTAAGCATAAAAACAATAAGAATTTATTTACTATTTATTATTCCTAATTATAGTAAATACAATTTTATTTATAGTTAATATTATAATCTCAATATATAAGTCAATTTTTTTAATCTAATCCTCATTTATTAATTTATTGTATTTCTATTAACAAAATGAACTCTTGCAGAGGCATTTCATAAGAATTCAGTTTAAAAGAGGAAACTCTCGTTGTATTTAAATCCTACTTAGCAATAACTTCAGGAGGAATGGATAAAAAAGTGGCTCAATCATTGAATAATGTTTTTGCCACAAACATTCATCAATCATAGTAAAATGCAGAAAAATTAGTCTATAATGATTTTGATGTGGCTTTTGCTGTAGGAGTTGTCTTCAAGCTTCTTGTGGGATAAAAAATTGAATTTCTTGATTATTTTTGTAAATGACATTATCATTATTTATAGGTTAGTTTTATAGTTAAGTAAATGATAAATAGAAATACGCTTTAGACCTACTCAAATATACTGTTTACTAACTTGATAAAAGTGACCCAATGTTCTATTTAAACACTTTATTAGCAAATAAAAATATTCCTAATTAATAATTATAACCAGGAATTAGTTTATCTAAAATTTATACATTTGTTCATTTGTGTGAATTGGCCTCATTTTTTAAACCCTTTTAAAAGCATCCAAATTAAATTTTAAATTCATAATTCTCTATGTTCCCTTATGTATTTTGGTAAAGATATGATTAAGTTAATCTCAATGAAGTAAGACCTGAAATAGACTTATACTTTTATTAGCCTTCTTCAACATTGTATTATTTTATTATTATTTTAGTCCAATTCTTGTGTTATAATAATATGATGACCCCCAACTTTCATATCAGATATTTAAAGAACATTAAATTTTTATGTCACACATTTCAACATAATTGATTTTAGATGCTGTCAGTCGTCAATTGTCTCAAACTTCAGAAAATCTAAAAAATCAACCTTACAAAGTTGCAAATTTGAGAGAATTAGGATTAATTTTATTTGCTGGACAACCATAATTAGAGGATAAATTACTTAAATTTGAGAAGATACCAAAAATGTAATCAATTAGAGATTATATGTAGTGGTGAAACTCTTAGTTTTTTAATTAATCCTAAAGCTTCTTTAGAAATTGTAAAGAAAGAATTGACTAAAGATTAAGAATAAGAGATTGTAAAAGAATAGGCATAGTTAAATTAGAATTAGGGTTAAGTCTTTGATATTTTTGCAACATAAATTCCAAATTAACAAAAATAAGTTAATGAGTTGAGAAAGACCATTTCATATTGAATAATAAGATATATTATCATAGAAAACATAAATTATTATTATTATCAAATTATTCCAAATTTTTTCATGACTCTTTTTAAATCTTCCATATTTAAAGGTTTATCTAGATGATCATTAGCTCCACATTTTTAAGATTTCAGCTTATCATCAGATCCTGTAAAAGCAGTAACAATTACAATTAGAGATTGAGTTAATTTATACATTTATTCATATTTCCTTATTTCTTAAGTACATTAATAACCATCCATTTCTGGCATATTTACATCCATAAATATAACACTCATTTATTCTTTAGAGTATAAATCAAATGCTTGTTTACCATTAAAAGCTTTATAGAGTTTAAAATTATAAATATTTTAAATTTAATTGTGATCAATGAGTGATTAACAAATCCTAACACAAACAGAATAATAAATTATTAATCTTTAACCCTAGATTAATACCTTACAACCCATTCAACCACCATTACCTATGGATATAGGCACGGGGGTGTTGGGTCGTGTGGGGTTGATTTCTACTATAGAGGACCCATTTTTGAAATAAATAATGATTTAGCATTGCTACTAAGATTAAATTTTGAACTATTCCTTTATGTTGATAAGGGAGTTGTTGAATTCTAATATATTTTACATTAAAGAAATTGTTAATAATTAAAAAACACATAATCAAAATAAAACCATACATTATTCAAATCAAACCTAATAACGTTATTAGAAGAATCATTCGGACTTAATGACTGTCTAAATCATATTCTAGATTAAGCTAAAAGTAATAATTATCAAAAATGTATATCAATTATATCCGATGGCTACTTCTTCCCCAAAATGCTTTAATATGCAGGCGAACATTATAAAGTTTAATTCATCGTTTTCAATGCTCGCAAGAAGAAATATTATAGATACGGTCCTTAATCCCACTAAAAAAAATACTTTATTTTTCAAAAGAATACCTAAATANATGAACTCTTGCAGAGGCATTTCATAAGAATTCAGTTTAAAAGAGGAAACTCTCGTTGTATTTAAATCCTACTTAGCAATAACTTCAGGAGGAATGGATAAAAAAGTGGCTCAATCATTGAATAATGTTTTTGCCACAAACATTCATCAATCATAGTAAAATGCAGAAAAATTAGTCTATAATGATTTTGATGTGGCTTTTGCTGTAGGAGTTGTCTTCAAGCTTCTTGTGGGATAAAAAATTGAATTTCTTGATTATTTTTGTAAATGACATTATCATTATTTATAGGTTAGTTTTATAGTTAAGTAAATGATAAATAGAAATACGCTTTAGACCTACTCAAATATACTGTTTACTAACTTGATAAAAGTGACCCAATGTTCTATTTAAACACTTTATTAGCAAATAAAAATATTCCTAATTAATAATTATAACCAGGAATTAGTTTATCTAAAATTTATACATTTGTTCATTTGTGTGAATTAGCCTCATTTTTTAAACCCTTTTAAAAGCATCCAAATTAAATTTTAAATTCATAATTCTCTATGTTCCCTTATGTATTTTGGTAAAGATATGATTAAGTTAATCTCAATGAAGTAAGACCTGAAATAGACTTATACTTTTATTAGCCTTCTTCAACATTGTATTATTTTATTATTATTTTAGTCCAATTCTTGTGTTATAATAATATGATGACCCCCAACTTTCATATCAGATATTTAAAGAACATTAAATTTTTATGTCACACATTTCAACATAATTGATTTTAGATGCTGTCAGTCGTCAATTGTCTCAAACTTCAGAAAATCTAAAAAATCAACCTTACAAAGTTGCAAATTTGAGAGAATTAGGATTAATTTTATTTGCTGGACAACCATAATTAGAGGATAAATTACTTAAATTTGAGAAGATACCAAAAATGTAATCAATTAGAGATTATATGTAGTGGTGAAACTCTTAGTTTTTTAATTAATCCTAAAGCTTCTTTAGAAATTGTAAAGAAAGAATTGACTAAAGATTAAGAATAAGAGATTGTAAAAGAATAGGCATAGTTAAATTAGAATTAGGGTTAAGTCTTTGATATTTTTGCAACATAAATTCCAAATTAACAAAAATAAGTTAATGAGTTGAGAAAGACCATTTCATATTGAATAATAAGATATATTATCATAGAAAACATAAATTATTATTATTATCAAATTATTCCAAATTTTTTCATGACTCTTTTTAAATCTTCCATATTTAAAGGTTTATCTAGATGATCATTAGCTCCACATTTTTAAGATTTCAGCTTATCATCAGATCCTGTAAAAGCAGTAACAATTACAATTAGAGATTGAGTTAATTTATACATTTATTCATATTTCCTTATTTCTTAAGTACATTAATAACCATCCATTTCTGGCATATTTACATCCATAAATATAACACTCATTTATTCTTTAGAGTATAAATCAAATGCTTGTTTACCATTAAAAGCTTTATAGAGTTTACAATTATAAATTACTTAATTTAACATAGCACTCAATGCAATTATATTAAAAGGAGTATCATCAACAATTAATACTTTTAAAGATTCATCAGATGAACTCTCTAATCTATAATAGGTTTATGCTTTTTTTAGTTAAGTTTTTCTTTTTTTAACAATTTAGTTCAAATTTTTATAAGAGGGAAATCTTGGAACAATTTATTTTTGATTTAAATCTTATTCTTATATTGAATTTTCTAAGGATTGCTATAATTTTCTAAAAATAATGAATTTAAATGTAGATCCTTTGCCAACTTATGATTTTAATTCAATTTTATCAGTAGGTCCTAATAAAGATACAAGTTATTAACTAATAGTTAATCCTAATCCAACACCATGTCTATTATTATTACCTATATCAAAAGTGCTGTATAATCTAAAGAGATTTTTTTATATGTCTTCAGGTATTCCATATCCTGTATCAGATACTGAAATTTCAATAATATCTTTTTCATTAGGTTAAGTTGCTGTAATAACAATTTCACCTTACATTGTAAATTTAATAGCATTAGCGACTAAATTAATTAAGACTTATTTTAATCTATTTTCATCAGTAAATAGATCAGAATTCTTTATATCAATATTATTCTTCCAAATTAATTAGACACCTTTTTCATTAGATTATCTAAGTAATAAAGAATTAATAAATTTAAATGTATTATTTAAATTGAATGATTTTGGTATTAATCTTAAATATCCTTTATTGATTTAACTATAATCAAGTAAATCATTAATCATAGATAATAATAATTAACCTGATTGATTAAATTCATCAAGATGAGCACAAAGTTATTCAATATTACTATGAGTAATATTTGATTTCTATTACAATATATTTTACATTATGCTTATATCAATCATCATTCCATTTAATGGAGTTTTTAAATCATGAGATACTGTAGCTAATAATCTATCTTTATATTGATCTAATTCTTTTAAATGTTTTAATCTTATCTTTTCAGAAATATCATTCATAATAACTAAAATAGAATGTTTATTTTCCCAAATACAATGCAAAACTCTAATTTCAAAATGTGATTTTATTTTTAATTATTATTTTTAAGATAATGCTACTTTACTTTAAGAATCAAATCTAAAACATAAAAAATAATCACTAAATTCTGATATATCATATTCATTTTAAATAATAGATTGTCTATTTGTATTTAATTACTATATAAATTATTCTTCAAATTGTCCCATTTTTTAATATAATACATCATAAATACTTACACATGAACTATAAGTATCCTGTTCAGATTCTTATTCAGTTTGAATGTAAATGCTTTTTAGTTTCTTAATAATTTCATTTTCATCTGAAACTTATAAATATTTAATTGCAAAATCATTACTATAGATTAACTTCATTTCTTTACCCTAATTTGTAGAATCTTATAAATCATCAGTATTCTCAGTTAATATTAATATTGAATTTGGAACTGTTTTGTCAAAAATGTTTTTACATGCATGTAAATTTGAAGTCTATTAACAAATAGTATAGAAATCTATTCTTTTATAATATTCAAGAAATCTAAAAAAAATCAACATCATTAATAAAAGTACATAAAATGTCCAATATATAGATGCTAGATTTCCCATTAATCCTATAAATAAAATGGTTGCAGCTATTAATATTAATCCTTAAATAAACCATAATGGACAAACAAGTAAATAACTAATAATTATAATTCCAGTTTATATTCCACTACTAACAGCTTATGATGTAGTTTATTTTCCACATGGTTTATTTATCAATTAAGCTTATACATAAACATATGCAATTAGAATTGTAATTACACAACTTAAAAATTCAGAAATTGCTATAAATGATTTATAATGAATTCTTTTTATGTTAGCTTATGATATCATGCAAATTATATGCCAACAGCAAAATGCAGCTCTAAAATAAGCAACTAAATGATTTTTCAAAAAAAATTGATTGTTTACAAAATAGATAACATTAATGAGGAAATGAATTAAGTATTATAATCGAAACAAGACTATGATTCTTTATTTTTCTTTATTTGAATATTTTTCTTCCAAATCTTGATTTATAAAAGTTAATGTCCATAAATTCATAATTTTTTTTGGTTCTACATCAGCTGTTTCTTCAGGATGAAAAAAGAACTTTATAAAAAATTGATATATTTTTAACATTTAATATTGGAATTATTAGATTCAATAATTAATACCTTGATTAAATGGTAATTAAATTCAATCGAAATTCTAATATCCAACTTAGATAGCTAAGAATAATGCTTAAAAAAAATTAATCATTTAATCAAGGTATTAATTATTATACTTAACATTAAAATATAATCATAAATAGAAGAAATTGAAGTGATATTAAGATTCAATTAGTTAGATTTAATTTCAAAAAAAATAAATTTTTAGAAATACAGGTTTTCAACAAAACAAATATTTTTGTTTTCAATATTCAAATGTAGACCAATTATAATCTTAAAATGACTACTATTAGCATTATATAATACTTTTCTCATTTTAAATATATATTTATTTTAAAGAGTAAAATAATTTATAGTTTATGACAATTACATCTAAATTACTTTAAATATTAAAAATATTAAAGTATAAATGAAAAAACACTTATTGTTAAATTTTAAACATAGGAATTAGAATGTATAATAAAAATGCTTTAATCTCTCTATTAATGATATGAAATCATTATTTAAGTTACCTATCTTAAAATAAATATTTCATTATAAATTAAAAATGCCTAATTTTAAGAAATTTATTATGAATAATTATTATATACATTAGATAAAATTTATTAGAAAGTAAATTTTCCATATATCTTAATTTTTATAAATGATATAAATGTAATTTAAGTAAAACTCAAAAATAAAAATATTAATTCCTTATTAATATATCTGTGTTATTAGTATTCATTACTTAGAAAATTAGGTTTAATATGAATAAAAATAATGGAATCATTATATATTAACAAATTTTAGTATATTAATTTTATTAAAATAAATGAATTAAATTTAGGTAATGAAAGCTAGCATACATCAGAATTCAAAGATTGCTATGAGCGTAGGAGATTTTAATGTAAACAATAATGACCTTCATAGAATAGAAAAATTAACAAATTTTAGAATTACTTAGAAACTTTGTTCTAGATTACTCAAATATTGAATTATTTAAAAGTTTAATACTTGAAGATTGTAATCCTGAAACCACGTTCGCTCTTTATTCAATAATCTAAAAAAGTCTTATAAATGGTGATCATTTTACAAATTTGCCTCATCAAAAAGTAAGTACAGAGTACTTTTATAACGAATATGATCATCGACTAAATATTACAGAAATTTGTACAAAACATATTGATATTGCTTTAATTTATTTGCAATAATCTCATAATCATCCAAATTATGTATACAACTAAGTAATTTTTACAATTGCACTTTTAATGAGAAAAAATTGGGTAGAGATTTTCAAAATTGAAGATATTATAAGTTAAATTATAAATAGCACTATTTAAACAAATAAAATAGTCTTTTTTAAAATATTTGAAAATCTTATAAGTTGTATTAGATAATATTCATATGCAAGTGGTTATATTGAATTTAGAAAAATACTTAATAATTTTTAAATGTAATTCTATCATTATATTTTAGGCTATCTTTATAGAGAATATTAAATGCAATTCATTAATAAATTTAACAATTATAAGGATAATCTTTACTTTAATTATATACATAAAATAAAACAATGGTAGAATCCTTTATTAACTTATTATATTAATTGATGAATTTGAATTTTAATTTAAGTTATTATGAAATTGATATAGATAATGATGGAAAGGATACTTCCTAATTAACTAATGTATTTAAGGCAATTTAATTCTTAGTTTCCAGATTATTATTTAGACTTGATTATAGACCCTACTTTTTAGAAAGAACTATTTTAAGATACCATTGGATTCATAAATATTGATCAAAATCTATCTCTATAATGTATAAACATGCTTTAAAGGATTGCTTGTGTGAGATTATCAATATTTCATAATAAGAAATGTAAAGGAGAATTTAGAAGAATAATGTGGGAAGGATTACTCTATTTATATTAAAACTAAGATTAATTTATAAATTATGCAGAATTTTCATCTGAAATACATTCCTTAGCAGTAAGGATTATAAATAATTTAACATTAAGAAAAATAGTAAAATTTTAGTATTTATTTGATAATTTCTTTTAATTGATATAATAAGTTTACAAAAAAACAGTATAAATATATGGAGTTAAAATTATGTTAAATAGTCCAATAATTAAATTATAAGAACTTTGGAATTAAATTAGTTATTAAGGATCATTACATTTACCTTTAAATGATGATTTTAATGTAAAAATAAATAATGTTATGTAAATTCAATTAATTTTGGTATTGAAAACATTTTTTTAATAAAATCAATTTACAGAAATTCCATAAGAATGTAGTGTTAAGAAATTTAAAAAATTATTGGATTTAACCTTTATGCCTTTTCATTGTTTATTTAAATCCCATATCTAAGATAATATTAATCTCATTTTATAAATGATTGAATAATTAAGAGGAGATAATGAATGTATTAATCAAATTAATTATTAATAGATTAATGTGCAGCTGTAATAAGTCTAACTATAGTATTTTTATTACATACATCAAATACTGAGATTTTAAATTTAGGATTCGAAAGCTATAATTTTGGATAAAAAGAAGAACCTAAACCTAATCTTGATGGTTAATCATATATTCTTAAATTTATTGTGGAACTTATAATGAATTAATAAGTTTAAAGGAATACTAGAATTTTAAAAATTTCTATCTTATCCTTTATTGAAAGTTTTATTACTACAACAATTGACTCTTTTTGTTATGATTAAGAAACAAAAACATTCAAAAATCTTTCTTAAATATATTCCCAATTGATACGTGTTGATCAAAGATATCAAAATTATGTATTAGTATTAGAGACTATGTTGGATGAATGGTAATCTTTTATCATATTTATTTTAGTTTCTAAATATTTACAAGTGGTGATCCTTATTTAATAGAATTCAGTCTTAAATTAATTGAATTTATATATTAGAAAGTAAAAAAATATATTCCAAGAAAAGTATTCAAGGTTTGCACAATTACAGAAATGTTGAAATAGTTCTTCTTATAATTAAATATAACTTGTTTAAATACACCTTAATATATAAAGAAGAGAGCTGTAGTCTTTAAAATTATAACTATTGTTTGGGTAGATGATTGTTCTGATGATTATCTTAATTCACTTGTTGATATTTATAACCAAATTAAATAAAGCATATTGATAGAAATGAATAAAGTTAATATACTAAAATATGTTTGGGATCTTATTGGAATTGCTTCAGAAATAGATGTTGATAATATTTATAGAGCATTCTTAAGAATAATGTATTAAAATAATATGATATCAATTAGATATCCAGATCTTGCAAATCTATTGACTTAAGAAAATATTGAATTATTTGCTAAAGACTATGATTCTTCCATTGCTATCATTACATTATTCAAAGCTATTTTTTATAATAAGTATTAGTTTATATCAATTATATTAGAAATACTAGATTATCAACAGAGAATATTTAATTAATTTTATATCAAATTTATGGTAAAGCTATGAAATTCTTTATAATTCTTATTTAATAATAAATTTAAACAGCAAAAACTTAATAAAAAATATCTGATTTGTAATTGAAATAAGTATCTAAACTTTTAGCACTTATGAGTCAAATATCTGGATAAAAGAAAATTAATTAAGGATTTTTTATTATTTACAATGATTAATGTTTTCTAGAACTTTATAATTTATAGATATAACTCATTTTAATATATAGACAATTACTTTAACATATTCCAAAATACAAAAAAATATTATATGAATGTTTTGATTGTATATGTTAAGATCATTCAGAAACTTTAGCTTATAAGTGTGATTTGAATTCTTATCTTGATATTTTCCTTATATGTAAAGAATCATTAAAAGAAATTATTTATGATAATTAAGGAGAGGATACTATAAATGAAAATTGTGCTACACTTATATTAATTGGAACCTTACTAAGCAATATATCAACATTTTTAATTTAAGAAGCTTCTGTTGGAGATATAAATGATTTATAAATGATAAAAAATAAAATAAATGGAATTAATTTATAGGGGAAATAAATACTATATGATATATTTAATTTGAGTTGCTAAATTACATTAATATATCCAAAAAATTCAAAAATTATATTTGCAATTCCAGAAATCTTATATGCCATTTCAATATTCAATCCAAAAGATGTAATCACAATTTTTGATATTTTAGTTTGAAACACTTCTCATAACAATGGTAACCAATTAAATAGGAATTACATCAAATCCTATAATTGATCAAATAAGTTTAGCTTTTAAGAATCTTTAAGGAGAATTATAAATTTCAAACAAAGAAGATTTTGTAAGAAAAATTAAAGTAGTTTTAGAAATGTATAAATGATAAAAATTATTTTATTATTAGAAAATGATTATTTATATATTGTAAAAGTATTTAATTATTAAAGTAATTATTGAATTGTTTTTTATTATATTGAAAGTTATCTATATTTATATTATTTAAGGATTACAATATTTATAAATCTTATTTTAATATGATAATTGATATTCTAAAATATTTAATAAATAAAAGAAAATAATTATATATACATATATAAATATACAATAAATAATAATTGATGATAAATTATTATTATTATTAATAAATTTTAACTACTTAATTAGTGAATCTAAAAATTTGATTCTAGAATTATCATCAATGATTATTTATTGTAATGGCTGCTGAAAATTGTAATTCTTTTGTTCGATTTGCATTAAACCTTATTTAAACAGAAGATATTTTTGGAACTACATCTCCTAAGAGAGAATCACCAATTCCAATATTAAAATTTTTTGATCTTGATGAGAGTCCAAAATTGAATTCAGGAAAGAAACCATATCCAATTTAATAAAAAATTGTAAAAACAAAATAGATTGAAAAAAGTATAATAAAATGCAAATGTTTAAAATCTAAATGTTAAAAATCATATTGTGAATGTTTTGCTGCAGGAAGATCTTGTAATATAGAGTGTAATTGTTTAGGATGTAATAATTCTAATTGTTCTTAATAAATAAAGAAAACTTAATGTGGTGGATGTAATTGTAAAAAAACAGGTTGTACTAAAAAATATTGTGAATGTTATTTAAAAAAATAAAGATGTACATTTTTATGTAATTGTATTGATTGTTGTAATCAAGAAGATTCAGAATCAGAAAAAGAAAATGAATAAAATCATTGTATTGGAATACTTAGTTCCAATTTATTGATGAACAGTTAAATTACTGAATAATTAAATAAATGAACTTTATTATAATTTATATTTTATTAATAGGAATTTATTTTTTTCAAAATATCTTAAAAAGTTCATTTAACTTAAAAAACAATTTTAAACTTAACATTAAAAATGGTAAAAATAGAAAATTTTTATAAATAAGGAATAAGTTCAACTTATTTCTTGATTATCTGGCTTGAATAGATGACAATAAATTGGAAAAAGTTCTGTTGGTATAAATTACTTTAGTCTAATTGGATCATGTTAATCAAATAGTGGAGTTGCATGAAATGTAGATCTACCAGTATCAAGTCTTGCAGAACGAAATGAACTAGAATTTGGGGATGTATCTTATATTATTTTCATTTTTTCTCTATGTGATACTTCATTTATTGAATAATTTTATTTAACTTTTTTATCTTTTTGAAATATTAATTATAGTTTTTTGCTCATAGGACTATTTGATGTTGATATAACACTCTATTACATCTATCTATTAGTTGTAGGTGATTCTTTTGTAAATTTAATAGTATATTCTTTCTAAATAATTTTATTTAACAACAATCTATCATTTATTATTTCTTAACCTTATATCAATGGATTTTCTAAATCAACTTATTAGTAATTAGGTAACATCTTCTAATGTAATATTACAGACTTTCTTAAATAGATTGATGACAATACTTATAGATTTCTTCTAAACTTTAATCAATGTGAGAATTCTTCATTATATCTGTTCCTTAAGATTATGGTACAAGGTAAGTTATGCCTTTCCTTACTTTCTTTAGATATTAAATCTCTTATTTCTATGCTTAAGATGCTTTAACAGAATCATAAAGAGATGGCAATTAATATTTGGTTATAACTTCAAGATTGTCCATATTTTCATTTTCCTATTATTACAATTTGATTTATGGTTCCATATCAAGTATACGTTTATAGTCTTATATTTTAATCATATATAATTCTGCAAAATGAGAACTTACTCTTGCATTAATAGTATAGATTCCATTAACAATATCTCCTACTCCAAAGGCAGTTTATTCACCTAATACTTTGATCATTTAATAAACAAACTTTTTTTTATTTAATTAGTAATATTATTCAATTTATTGATTAATTGGTTCCTTTTTATATATTTCTATTTCACCTTATTTAATTACATAAACAGCATCACATTTCTATCCTTCTTAAAATATTAAATGTCCTCTTGTAAATTCTACACTTTTTATTGATCTATAAATGTAATCAATTTAATAATTTTTCAATTGACTAAATGCAGTCACTTTACTCAAATATATAAGTTCAGTTTCTCTATTTCGTTTAGATGTTGGAGAAGCCTTTGTAAGACTTCTAGTTTATCTAGGACCAATATTGTTAGATTACTCAGTTATTTTATTAATCATAATATAAATAAATTATGAATAATATTTAATTTCTTTGATACTTCTTTCTTTCGTTTTCTTCGCTATTAAATTAACAAAAAAATCAAAATGATTTAATTTAAATTAGATATTAAGAATGAATTTTTTATAAATAACATAAATTACTTTAAAATCAAGATGAGAGCAAGAAATCAGAATAATTAAGACTGTGATTTAGATATTTGTGGTATTTCAAGATCCTATTCATAAACAAAGTTACCAAATCAAAGTAATAATTCTAAAGAGATGTCTTAAAAAAATGAAATGGTATTTGTTATTTAAACCTTAGAGTGATAAACAAATATAATCAATAAAAGACAAAGATGATCTATAAGGTTCTATATAATTGAATGATTTAAATATATTAGGACTAAAAGATTATTATTTAGTATCTAATGATAATCGTTTGGAAACCAAACCAAAATTAAATTAAGAAAACTTTGAAAGTCCAAGGTTTGATTTACAATAAAATGAATATTTTAACAATACATTAGATTAACTAGGTTTAAAATTAAATGAAGTAATTGGTCATTACCTATGTGAACTTACAACTCAACCCAGATTTTCATTAGATTCAATATCCTTGTAAAATAGTGAAAATTTAGATGAAGAATAATAACAATAAATTTTAGATAATGAATTAAATGCAATAAGATAACGTATTTACAAAGTAATACTTGTGACTATTATTCAAAGCAAATTGTAGATAAAATAAATCTATCAGTAATCTAATCTGTATAATCATTTGGTTCATCATGTTAATTGAATTCACAATCTAATATTATTTCTACAGCATTTTCAAAAGAACTCATATCTAGTAATAATCATATCTCCTAAATATCATAAAAATCCTCATCTCTATCATTTCTAGATCTTCATTCACAATTACATTAAAGTATACATAATATCCAACCTAAAACAAACAAAAAAATTGAAGATTAACCTATCACTCCTACTGAAGGTGAAACATCTAAAGATTAATTATAGAATAAACTTAAAATTTCATTAACCTTAAATTATTAACAATAATAATTTAATCATTAACTTAAAGAAGAATTATCAAAATTTGAAGTATTTATTTTTAATTATTTTAAAGAAAAAGAATTAAATGTAAGAACATATTGAAGATGGAGACAATAATAATAATAATATATTAATAGAAAATCAAAGATTAAAAGAAGAAAATGCAAAAATGATTGAATTCATCTAAAACAAAATTTGTGATTAATGCAAAAAAATTCCTAAGAATTTTTGATTTAATATCCAAATCTATAAATTTCATTTATTAAATTTATTTGGTTTTATTATTGGTAGTAATTAATCTAAAACTTAATGATATTTTTAGATTATTGACATTATCTATTGTTTCTCATCTCCTGAATGATGAATACTTTTTTGTTTTGTAAAACTCTTTCCTTAATATCTATAATTCATTATAGGTTAAACATTAAAGCTTTTCTCTTAACTATTCGGTTGTTTCCATTTATCTAATTTTTAATTAGATTTAGTAATCCTTGAATATTATTTATTCGGCTTTTCGAAAGTTGAAGTTCTAAAAATGAATTCCCAACAATACTTACATTTTCTATAGTTTTTAATACATTCTAACATTTTCCTTTTGTAAATTTTCTTTAAATTCAATTGATTTCCTCGAATTACAAGAACTGACACTACGAATTGATTATCTTGAATACAAGAATATTTTATTTATTATTTACAGATTTTTGAAATGAAGATTCTACATTATTTAATTTCTTAAGTAATTTCTAATTTTATTTCATTATTCCTTCCCATCTATTTATTTCTTATTTTCTAGCAGTGATATATCTATTTTGCTTATAAATATCAATTGTTTTATCTAATTTTGGAATAGAACTCTTTCTTTGTTGAATATCACTTAGTCTTCTCTTATGGATCATTAGTTCCCTAAACAATATATCTTATACTTTACTATGCATTGTTTTGTTGCTTAATTCTTTACATAGTTTAGTTAAATCAATTATATTAATATTAATTTTTAGTTTAACTATGAAAATTTTATTAAATTTATGATTTCTATCTAATCATTCATAATATAATATTAATATATATTCAAAAAAGTTAATTATATACAAACTTAAGAATTAGTTGATGAAAAAATAAAAACAAATAATCGTTAATATTGAAATAAATAAAATAAACTAAAAAGAATAGATAATTATTCAATTAATAAATTGAATCACTTTAGATTTCAATAATAAATATTAATATTAGTTATTTGAGGTATTTCAAGCAGAAAAATATTATAAATTTATTCTGATAATAAAAAAATTGAAAAGTATGGAATAAATATATATATATAAATAATTCTTTAATTATTTTATTTTAATTAATCTTAAATATTGTTCACAAATTTGTGGTTTAAAGCATAATTATTTTTTTTTTCTTATTAATATATTTAATTTAATGAATAAATCATTATTTGCTAGCTTACTAATTCTATTAATTATTGGATAAGTTTCATGTGACACTTTGGAGGATATAAAAGATAGTGCTATTGTTTCTACTTTAACTACCATTGGAATTACCGTAGGAGCTAAGGTTGGTTTAATGACAGCGGGTTTTTCATCAATAGGTCCTGTAGCAGGAAGTTTTGCTGCAGCAAGTTAAGCAGGTGTTGGAAATGTTGTTGCAGGAAGTATTTTTTCTATAGCACAAAGTGTGGCAATGACAGGAGTATTGGGTACAGTTTCACTACCTGCATCTTTAATTGGAGTAGCTGCAGGAACATTATATTACTTTTATATTCAAGAATGATTTTATTAAATTCATTCATTATATTAATATAAAAATCTCATAAAATTACTATTTAATCAAAATTTTATTTATAATAATTGATTATTGTTAAACATTTACTTTTCTTTTTATGTAAAGAATGTAATATAAATATATTTGGATAATTAATAATATCATTTAATCATGAATATAACTTCAAAATGTTTTCACATCCTTCTTATGTACATCCTGCACATTGACCATATAAATATAAATGATGGTCAAGTTTCCATTAGGTTGGCCAAATATATTTATTTCCACACTATAATTAATAACAATATAAATACTTTATTATCTTCTCTACCACAAACTTTGAAATTCATCATTTTTTCATCATAAAATATTTCATTTCCATAATGAGAGAATCCTTGTCCAGGTAAAGGAGTATGTTGAAAAGTATCTTTATCTCTTATGATTCTAGCTAAGAATAATCCTTTTAATTCAGATTCAACATAATCAGCAAATTTATCATTTCCTATTCTTGGAGTTCCATAGTTATAAAATATGTTTACTCTTCCTACTGTCCTTTTGATATCAAGAACTGCAAATGTAGCTTCAGCTGCTCCTAATGAATGACCTGTTACTAAGATTTATGCATCTGGATACAAAATATTTAGATCCTTTACACAATTAATAAGACCTTCAGCTATATTTTAATAGGTATCATAAAATCCTTAATGAACTTTACATCCTGTACAATATTAATAATCTCTTTTTATAAAATCTAAATCATTTAAGTAATTGACAGCATTCACACTTCCCCTGATAGCAACAACAATTCGATTAAAATCTTGGTCATAAGCACAATAACCTTATGCTTAAGCTTCTTCATTATGATGAACTTAGATATGTTTCATATTTGGATGTCTTTTACAAGGTTCACAATCCCATGCATTAATGATATCAATAGAACAATAAGAAGCTCTTGTATATTAGAAAATATCTTCTCCAAATTCGTGAACATATTCTTAACATTGTACAAATGAGCATAAAAGGACAACAAAAATGATTTACTAATACGTCATTTCTTCTATTGAATAATTTTAATAAATTATACAACTATAATAATGAATTTAAAACTAGATTTATAAGGATGGTAAGATTATGTCCAAACTCCAAATACTAATTAATTAAAACTTTTAAGTGATTCACTTAACAATTATTAAGAATAACTTAAACCTAAATAGAATCCTTTTAATAAATGTATTACACAACAATCCTAATCTCCTAAATAAAGATAACTCTAAAAATCACCATTTGCTGAATATCGTAAAAAATTCAATATCAAGAGATAAGCATCACCATTTTTTAGAGAACATCAGTTTAATTTTAGTTAAGATAACAAATAAGAATTCCATCGAAATTTTAATAATCCCCATTAAAATAAAAATCAAAAATAAAGTCTAATCTTTCAAAGATCATAAAGACAACAATTAAGAACAAAATTAATGATGATATCCAAAGATTTAAATAATTCTTAAATTTATCATATTATTTAATTAATAAATAAATGAAATTTAAGGTATATGAATAATTTATATCTTTATTTGTAAGCATTATTTCTTTATAAAAGATTTAACTTATTACTTTTTTTTATGAAAATAGAATCATTTATTTTTTTATTCAATTATTATTTTTTATTAAAATAAAATCATAAATAAATTGTAAGAAGTATATATTCATAAATATATAAATCAAAACAGCATCTTTATGAATTAAACATTATAAAACTCCATAAAATCTATTAGTTATAATCCAAGGCTAACTGTTCCATCATCATTAAAATTTACAAAAACTCTTCATTTTGAGTTTTACAATTTAATAATGCTCATTTTTTTGCTTAAGCTTCAATTGCCATACTTAAAGCAAGATCTCTAGATAAAACATAATTTTTCATCCTAAATTTTGAATTTTTGTTTCATCTAAATCTCAATTAACCTTAAATTAGTCTATTTCATTAACTTTAACTTATATTTGAATACGTTCTTAATCTGGTACAAATTCTTTCTCATTTAATGAGTATTTCTCTTCACTTTATGGTGTTGCAAGTCTCACTCATCCTGTTTATTATATCATTTTTTGTTAGAAAAATTAAAGTAGCTAATCTAATATATTCTGATCTTATTTCATAAATTAATAATAAATGAATACTTATTGTAAAAAAAATCACAAAAAATAGTTTATATAAAATCTCTTTTATTGTATTGATGGTAGTGCAATACAAAAATCTTTTTTATCCAGAATCTTTGGTTGAGTTATCATAAACTCTTCCTTTATTTAATCTTTTATATATATTTTATTAGAACTAATAATTACTATATAAAAATAAATCCTATAAAATATATAATAATTCTAATAATTTATCATGATCCAATCTTTTTACTTTTAGCTAAATCTAGTTTTTTCTTTTTTATTTCATTTTAGATTTGAACATGATAATTTCTTAGCAAATTTTTAATTGACAATATATCCTCAAAGAATTATGGAGATTCTACATTTTGTCTATCATCACAAAAGAAGTGTCTTATTTGTTAATAATTTTTTTAATCATCTGAATAGATTGTTTCCATTTAATATATAAATTCTTTATATTCAGAAGCATATTTATTAGATTTTTTGATAAATTCATTATTTTTTTCATTTTGACTTAGAGATTGTAAATTGGTTTGAAGGAATATCTAGTGATCTTTATATGTTTTTATAAATGTTTGAATTTCTGATAGAGCATTATTTTTTTAAGATAAAGTCGAAAGATGCTTAAATGGTGTATTTTATAATTCCGTAAATGGAATACCTTGTTTAATCATATGTTCTACAACATATTTTATTAATTCTTCTTAACTACCTTCTAATTATTATGTTTTATATGAGAAATTAATCAAATTTTTAAATTTAAATCCAAACTAATCAACTTAAATTTTATTAAATATTTTTCCATATTCTTTGATATATTGGAAATACAAAATCAACTCCACATCCTTTTTCAACTCTTCCAACACTTCACTATATTATGTTACTGTATTTTCAATATGGATTTTACGATCAAGATGCTCTTTATAAAAGGCCTCAATTTATATTGCTTTTCTAGGATTTCTTTCATATAAATCTTTCAGAAAAATATCATTAAGAGGAACTTAGAATTTATCTTAAATTTATAACTTTTTAGATTTAAGCAGTTTTTATTTTTTGAAAAGTGCCTCTTCAAATTGTAACATAATAACATTTTTCAATTCTACTGATTCTGTAGTAATAAGAGTTTTTCTATATTATTCTAACTCTGGTTCAAGCTATGAAAGAATTTTTTGAACTTCATATTCGCCTATGGTAGTTTATAGATCATCCTATTAACTATTCAGATTTTAATCTAATTATTATAGTGCTTAAACTCTTTCAGCTATTTTTAGAGTTTTTAATCTTTCTTTTTCTTAATTTTATAATTAGTCCTCTTCTTCTAGTCTCAAGTTTACATATGCTTCACTATCTTTTTTTGCTTATATTATATTGTTTTAAATCACTTTGAAATTTTCCTCTGATATAAATTATATAGCGGCGTTGAGATGTTCAATATATGCTCTACTTTCAGTATCTTAATTCTTAACCAGAAATTCAAGTTAATTTACTTATTCCAAAATCTCATCTAAATTAATTTTCTGGAGCATTTTCCGTAGTATTTCTATTGCCATTCCATTCAGAAAAACAGATTTTACATATTCTACTACTTCTTTTTATTGAACTTTTGCCTCTGCAATTTTTGGTTGTTATAATTTTTACTTTTTTACAAATTATTTTAAAATTTCTTTATCTATTTTAACTTGATACTTTTGTAGTGGAGCTTTCCAGATGGTTCCATCAATATTCTTTTCAATATTAACATTACTAAATTTAACGTAATCTTGATCAGTAGTCACTACTTTAGGGGCGGAAGATTATAAACTTTTTAAAGGTGGAGGAGGGGGAGGAGGGGGAGGATTAGTGCCAGGTGGAGGAGGGATGGGATTAGTGCCAGATTGAGGGTTTGGTTTTGGAAGTGGTTGTGCCAGAGAAACAACAGATTAATCCTTGGATTGTGTAGGTAGAGGTGGAGCTAGTGGAGGAGCACCAGATTTACCCTAGGATTGTGGAAGTGGAGGGGGAGGTGGAGGTGGAGGAGCACCAGATTGTGGAGGTATACCAGATTGACCCTAAATTAATAATGATGGAGGAACACTAGATTGGGCAGGTGGAGGATTTGTAATTGGGTTTGGAATTGAATCTGGTTTAATAGGTCTTACAAATCTAGTTTTTCTTCTCTTTATAGGGGAAATTTCTTCCTCTTGTTAGTTTTCTTCTAATACAGCAGAACAAAACATATCAGCCATGCTCATTGTAATTTAATTTCCCTATTCTTACTAAATTTAACTTGATTTGATTATTTCTGCTATTTTTTCTTCCCATTAACTTTTAAATTTCTATATTATGATTTCATATTAATCTTTTGTGTATTAATATGCTTATTTTGTTTTTCTTAGACTGAAGTTTGGGTTTTCTAATTCTTTTAAAGTGTAATTTTTATAATCTTCTTACCATTCTAATTATTAAATGATTTAATCATTGAATATCAATTAATTAAAGAGTTCATTTTTCTACTCTGAAAATTTTGTTAAAACTTTTTCAATTAATTCAACTATGATTAATTAATTAATTGCTTTTTTATCACCTTATTAAATCATTTGCAAAAGTAAAGGGACATATTTTTTAAAGTCTTGTTGGATTTCTATTCTTTTTTAAAGATATAAAGATAAGCCATATAATATTTCTGTATTATCACTAACTAATTCAATTAAATTAGATATTGGAATTTCTTTTTTCTATTCCAAACATATATTTAAAAGCACTATTTTCTTTAGAATTTCATCATTAGTATCAAAATAAATATCAATCTCTTCTCTTTCATTTTCTGAAGATTTTTCATATACCCATCTTAATGCATAAGTGAGCTCAATCAATTCATTTGATTTAATCCAATTTTAAACATTCTCTATACTGTATGTTTAATCGTTTCCAATTATTCTGTTATATTCAATTGTTAATTATGTTAAAATAGATTTATTGGTAATGTAATCCAAATCAACATCTACTTCTTTGATAAATTTTTTGATAATCTTTTAGTCAATTTCTTTAGAGTTTTTAGACAGAGATATTTTCAATTACACTTTTTGTTTCGTCTAGAAATTCTCTACTTAGATAACCTAACCAAGCATTTTAATAGAAATATAATTAATATATTGAAAAAAAAAAAAGTGGACCTTATGTATTTCGGAATTCTATTATAATAATTTATATTTTAAGAATTAGAGGACTTAGTTAATACTCTAAAGAATTTTTATAAATTAATTATATTATTTTAAGCTATTCATTAAATATTAAAATAATGACCACAGTTAATGCTCCAAAAATTAGTGAATACAAAGAAGCAACTCGAATTGAAAGAGTAGGTGCTTAATCTCATATCAGAGGTCTAGGTTTAGATGGTGATCTTGAGCCAAGAAATATATCATAAGGAATGGTAGGATAGGTATTAAATAATTTAAAAATACAAAATAGAAAAAAGCTAGGAAAGCTGCAGGTATTATCCTTAATACTATACGTGCTGGTAAAATAGCAGGAAGAAGCATTTTAATTGCAGGTTAACCAGGTACAGGTAAAACAGCAATTGCTATGGGTGTTGCAAAGGCATTAGGAAATGATATTCCTTTTACAGCCATGGCAGGATCAGAAATTTTCAGTCTTTAAATGTCAAAGACTGAATCTCTTACTTAAGCATTTAGAAGATCAATAGGAGTCAGAATTAAAGAAGAAACAGAAATTGTGGAGGGAGAAGTTGTAGAAATTGAAATTGATAAATCTGCAACTTCAGGAGCAAAAACTGGAAAAATAACTTTAAAAACAACAGAAATGGAAACAATTTATGATTTAGGAGCTAAGATGATAGAATCAATTACAAAAGAAAAGATCACATCTGGAGATGTTATAACTATAGATAAGGTTTCTGGAAGAATTAGTAAATTAGGAAGATCATTTTCAAAAGCTTCTGAATTTGATGCACTAGGTCCATAAACAAGACATGTATAATGTCCAGAAGGAGAAATAGAAAAAAGAAAGGAAGTTGTTCATACAGTTACTTTGCATGAAATAGATGTTATAAATTCAAGATAGAAAGGATTTTTAGACTTATTTTCAGGTGACACAGGAGAAATAGATTAAGAAATAAGAGATTAAATAGATTCTAAAGTTGCTGAATGGAAAGAGGAAGGAAAGGCTGATATTGTTCCTGGTGTTTTATTTATTGATGAAGTTCATATGTTAGATATTGAGTGTTTTTCATTCCTTAATAGAGCATTAGAATCTGATAAAGCACCTATTGTGATTTTGGCAACAAACAGAGGAATAACAACTATTCGTGGAACTACTTATAAAGGGTATTTAATTTAATTCTATAATTAGACCTCATGGTTTACCAATAGATCTATTAGATAGATGTTTAATTATCTAAACTGAACCATATAATGAAGCAGAAATAAGAAGTATTCTTGAAATAAGGTAGAATTTTTATTTAATTTATATTTAGATGTGAAGAAGAAGATGTTGAAATGACTGAAGAAGCAAAAGAAGTATTAACTAAAATTGGAGTGGATACAACTTTAAGATATGCTATTTAATTAATTACAACTGCTAATTTAGTTGCATAAAAAAGAAAATCAAATGAAGTTGATGTTGAAGATATTAGAAGAGTAAAAATTCAATTTTTAATTTAGGTTTATTCAATGTTCATAGATCATGTTAGATCAACATAATATTTAAGAGATCATTAAGCAGAATACATGTTTGATGAATACTAAAAGTAGCCATAAAAGATGTAAGTTGAATGATATATAAAATTCACATAAGTATTTACAAATAGTTAACTTCATATAATATAGATTTAAATAAATCAAATTTATTAAGAGATTCTTATTACAAATAATTTATTGATTATTAATATTTCTTATTAGATAATATCAATATTGATGTTTTCCCATTAGAGATTTATAATTTTTGTTTTAATTAAGTATTATTAAAATGTCTGTTCCTTAAATTATAGTTGAATAATAATCTTAACTTAATAGTCCAATTGAAGTTGATGGAGCTGTTTATGTAGCAGCATAAAATGGAGAAATAATTTAATACAAGGATGAAAAATATAAAGTATGATATATATTCTAAAATCAGACTTTTTTTCATGTAGCCAGTTAGCCACATTCAATTAAAATGGATAATAAGAATAAAGTGTTTTATGTTGCTAATATGGCTAGATAATGCATCTAGAAATTTTGTTAAGACGAGAATAATGATGAAATTATTGATTTCATTAATGAATTTGAAGGCATGCCTCTTCTTGGACCTAATTCACTTTTACTCTCTCCTAAAAATAGTATCTCACTATATAAATATTAGACATGATATTTTTTACAGATTCTGGACCTTTTGGAGAAACTGCAATAGATAACTGTAAAGGATCATTGTTTGCAGCAGATTTAGAAAATCTAACATGTAAAGCATTAGCTTTATATTGTCTCTCATTTCCAAGTGGAATATGTATGGGAAATGATCAAAAAACCATTTATTTATGCGAAACAGGTAAAAATAGAATACTACGATTTGTATAGGCTAAGGCTGAAATATATCATTTTAGGTATCATAATCTATCCTATATAGTGTTTATATTTAATTTTAAGGAAGGTTCGGACCTATGGCCTGCGCAGTTTCATCAACAGATCTCTTATATGTAGCTAGATATGAATTCTCTTAAGTTACAGATGATGGACTAATCAGTGTATATAATTAAAATGGAATTAATATTGATAATATTATACTACCTCAATATCCTGAATTAACTGGATTGGCATTCTCAGTGTAAAGTTTTTATTAAAAGTATTAGTGAAAAACCTGGAGTATTGTACATAACTGAGAATTCATAAAAAGGAAAGTGTTTAAAGCTCAATGTTACTCCTCCTGATAAAAAAGATAAAGATAAATTTAAGTGATGACTTATAATTTATAATTTACATAATGACTAATTTAATTAGAGAAATTTTGTATATCCTTAAAATAAATAAATTTTACATTATATAAAATAAATAATTTCTTTATAGTATTTTATAAGGAAATTAATATTTATAATAATAATAATAATAATAAAAGTACTTTAGATTTCATTAAGAAGTATAAATTAATATATTAAATAATCATAAATAAGTACAATTTTATTTAGCAATAAAAATATTTTTAATCACTTATACTCAAACAAGAAAAAGTTTATTACTCTTTTCATTAGTCATACTGAATATATTTGATTTATTATTTTTTCTCATTGTTTTAATTTATTCCATAGTAAATTAGAAAGAAACATTTTTATTTGATGGTCTTTAAACGAATAAATCAAAAATAGGTCGAATTTAGGAATTTCTATTTGAAGCTCCTTTCAGACAACTTACCTTTATAATACTATTTAATTTATTTGAAATCATTTTTTTCTCATTTAATTTATTAGATCTAGGTGCCAGAGACAACCTTTACCTATCTTTATCTCTAATTCCTTATTTATCTGAAACATTTCTTTGATTGAAATTATCAGAATTTGTTTTTTTCTGAATTATAATTTACTGATTCTAATTGAGTATTTAATTAGATGAATTTTCAAGGTTATAGGACTTATTGTTTTAACTGTCCACACTTTTACCAACTTAAACTAAGTTTAAATCTTTAAAAGTTGTGATTTCATCATTATTTTCTTGATATTCTGCACTATAATATTTACCCATGAATTTATATCTAGGTGATGTAATGGGATAATTCGCTGATTCTGAATTTGAGATTGATTGAGTGCTGTTTTCACTAAATAAAAAAAAGTTAGTAGGAAATGTCAGCACATCAATTAATTTATCATCTTCATCAGAATTGATTGTTAGTTGAGAATCAAAACAACATTCTAATGCCATTAACAAATTTTATTTGAAAAATTAGATAATTAATTGGATTTGATTAATTCTTATAATTATTAAACAAGTTTACGAAAAGATGATTAATTATTATTTAATGAAAAAGAATTTGGTATTTTTATATTTGTGATAAAGTAAAGAATAATTCCACAGATATACTAAAAAGAATTAATAAATTAAATGGTTAATTTATATTTGTAATTTGAAGTACTTCTTAAAGTACAATAGAAATTAATAGATGAAAAAAAATTGTTAAATATTTAATTTAAATATATTAAGTTGTGTCATTTAAGTAATTGATATTAATAATATAGTGAATGGATTATAGATAATAGAAGAATGAAAATTTATAATAAAAAAACCTATTTGTATAAATTCTTAAAAAAAGATGTGATGGAATTATGGAACCAAATAAAAGATTAGAGTAATATGAATGAGATGGTAGAGTTTAAGTTAGTAGAAATGAATTTGGAGTGATTATTATAATTATAAATTATGAATCCAATTGACACCAGATAAATATTGAATTGGGATCAAGTAAAGGTGCATCTACAACCTAATTTATGTATTGAATGCCAATTGGTTCCATAATAACCTCTTCAATGTTATCGATGTTAGAAATTGCTATGTTAAAGTTGTCATGGAGATCTAAAATAAAAATCAAGAGGGCCAAAAATATTTTGTTAGAAATGCAAAGCACTTAATTATTTCAATCCTGCTAACAATGCTATTTACTAGAGTTATAGAGATATGGTTATTGGATGTTTAAATCGTCGATATGGTTGTAAAGTGACACTGGATTACAAAAAATATTAGAAACATGTTGAAGAATGTGAATTTTAACGTATTCCATGTCCATCACCTGGATGTTTTGTAACAACATTAAAAAGAGCAAAGGGTGATCATTTATTAGTATGTGAGTATGTGATAGAGACATGTTAATACTGTAATAAGTAATTCAATCGTAAATCAATGGCTTATCATCAAGTATTTATTTGTTATAATGAAATGATAGGAAAAATGTAATGGAAAGGATGTATAACAGATTGATTTGGCATCACTGAAGTCGGACTTCCTACGACTGAGGAGTAAATTGGATGCAGCTATTTCATAATTCGAGTAATCAACAGAAATTGCTATGTTAGAATAGAAAGTAATCAAATAGTAGTTAGAGATCTAACAATTGAAGAATAATATTAATTAATGAGTTATTAAGAATATGATTCTCTTCGTTCAAGACGAATGTAAGTCTTTACAATAGTAGGGCATTTTCATTGCATAAGCAACGATTATCCAGTATCAAAGGATATGAGAATAAGTAGATCTCTAGTGTTATATCCAGAGTTGAGAAAATGAGATCTTAATCAATTAATAGACGTAAGTAGATAGAATAATAATAACTTGGAGAAGAAAATCAACGAATAAGGTATACAATTCTGTAATTTTAGGATTAAATTGTTGGAAATAGCAAATGAAAAGAAGACATCAACTTAATAAGTTAAATTATGTTAAGCAAAAAAGAAATTATAACAATTATTAAGACATTAATAGAATATGATGGAGAATCTTATTTTGATGAAAAAGATAACCAATGTGTATTTATTATAAGATATTTAGAACATCATCCATTACTCATAGAGTTTAAGTGTAAGATTTTTAAATTAGTAAATTAAAGTAACTTCAAAGATATCTACAAGATGATGAAAAGAGTTTTCATAAGTATAAATACCTATAACAAAGACCTTCAATTAATCAAAGTCCCAATATTTCATAGTCAAATTCTTACAATACTTAGCATACTAAAACTCTTGATGCTGCTAACATTAAATTATAAGAATTTAGAATGTATTCAAATGGATAATTACTTCAATGAGATATATCAAAAATCATCAGACTTCTTTAATTTATCAAAAATTTCCTTTTAAAAGCTTGTTTATCTTTCTCTTTTAATTTAATTTCATCAATCTTTATTTCTACACTTTAACAAAATATATTTGATGCGAATTTCATTAAAATTCTAGATTTATTCTGATGTCTAATTGAATTTCAAATATTCATATTAAAGGGATGATTAAAATTTGGTTTTTTTTTGAGATTCATAATAGTTTAATTTATTATTATCTTTTCTATATATTTAGATATTTGAATCGCAATGTTTCTATTTCTAATTTAAAATTTAGATTATTTCTTTTTACCTATTATAAACTTTATTTTTGTTTTAATTTTAAATAAAATGGGAATTCCATAATCAAAACAAAATTAATCTTAACTTTTTGAAGAAACACTCAAATAGTTCGATATAATAGACAAATAATAAACATTCATACTATTTTAGAATAAAACAACTATGCAAAAATTAGAATTTTGGACTTTCAAATATCATGATGAAGACTCTTTTAAAAGAGCTGTAAAAGACTTGAATTAAACCAAAGCTTGCTAAACTCTACTTCAAATTATTAAACAAAATACTGTAACTCATGATGAATTCTGTTCTACCTTCTATGAACTCCAACTGCTTGTTGAACATCCAGTCCAAAGTTTTGCTGAATACCTTCAAAACAGAGGATAATAAGATTATTCTTCCAAAGAATTATATCATTTGATTGATTGTGTAGTATTTGCATAATTAAATCTTGATAAAAAACAATACATAGGATTCAATAATTTATGGTAAGGTGAAAATGATGTTTGGAAATTGAGAAGTTTTGATAATTCATATAGACCAATTGATTTTTGGGGAAAATAAATGCCTCATTTATATCCAGCACCAGAAGAACTCAAGATAGATCCATCAATTAAATATTCAGTTGAAAAAGCAACCATCTTCACTTTTGGTATGCTTCTACTTCATGTTTCATTAGGTATTTAATTAGTTTAATTAAGCATAGCTAAATCATGTGATTCTCTTTATTAGAACAATACAATTGATCAATAAAGATTGACAACTAGAATAGCTGAATTTTAAAAGATTTATCCTAGCACTTTGGCAGATATCATAACTAATATGCTCTAATTAGATCCATTTCAAAGATATAATTATTAAGACATTTAAAATAGATTAAAAGAAGCTTAATAATGTAAAATAATTGATAGCACTAATCTTCTATTAAAGATGCCCTAATAGATCAATAGTTAATCAAAGTTCTAAGGAAATCCATACAAATCACCTGTAGAAACTTCAAGATTAATTAATATTCCATTATATCCAGAATAACCATTTATAAATTCATAATCCATACCTGGAAATAATAGTTTATAACATTATGGCAATTCAATACCATAAAATAACTAATAATTGATATAAACAATTACATAATCAAAATAATAATAATTTGATAAATAGTAACCTTAACCAATATAATCAAATCGTTCCCTTTCACCTTATCATAGTCGAATAAAATAAGATAAATTATAATTTGCTGATGGAAGATATTATGAAGGAGAAATCATGAATGAATAAATGAATGGATAAGGAATACTTTATTATGCTGATTCTTCAATTGAATATGAAGGTTAATTTATAAATGGTTAATTCCATGGTTTTGGAGTACATTGTAATAATAATCCTGATATCATGGATGCTTTCCTTAATATTAATGAATTTCCTGGTATTTTGAATTATTGGGTAAAATATGAAGGTGATTTCTATTAAAATAAGTAAACTTACATTATCATTATTATTAGGAAACATGGAATTGGTAGTATTACTTTTTCAAATGGTGATTGTTACATAGGTGGATTTCAGAAAGATCAAATGGATGGAAGAGGTACTTACACTTAAAAATATGGATAAACTTATATTGGATTTTGGGAAGGCAATAAACTAAAATATTGATATATTATATATTTTACGTATGTAAAATTAAGAGTCTTATCAAGAAGCAAGATTACTATTAAGCAAAAATTTAGAAAAAGGTCGTGCTAAATTAAGTGCTGAAGAAAAATTAAAATGTGATATTGCATAAGCTATCATTTATGAACATGATTAAAAAAGATTATAAGCTGCTTCCATTTACTATAATCTTAGTTAAAAGTTACCAATCTATTTGGAAAGAGCTATCATTAATGGATTGACTGCCCCAGCCTCTGCAAAGAGATAAGCATTATTATTGACAATCTTTAGAGACAGTAGAAGTTAAAAATCAAAATGGCTTCCATTTTTAAAATCAAAGTATTTTGATTTCATTTCCAATATTCTAGTGTACAATAAGTTTTATTGAAATGGACTGATATTGAAAACTTTGCCTAAGATACTAAAACTAATGCTAGTTTATTTTGTGAACATATTATTACAGCCATTAGTAGATTTTATAGTAACATCTCTATATAGAAGTTGGCTCAGTATTGTAAATTGAAGGAGGATTAAGCTTATGAACTTTTAGAGAACATGATTATCACTGAGAGATTACAAGCATAAATAGATTAATAATAAGGATATATATACTTTTAACATACAGAATAATGTACAATAGAAGAATTCTGTACAAATTTATATAGTATATGCTAATGAATAATTATCTACATATTAATAATTCATTAACAATAATAGAATTCCTCTCTAATATTTAAATTTTATAATAAAAAAATTTCATTCAAATTATGATTACATTAGAAATACCTGAAATCTTAGAAATCATCCTTTAATAAATTAAATTACTCCTAAACAAACTTATCTGCATCTTTTAAACTTTAAGTAAATTCGATTAAGTATTATCTGATAGATTGTCTATCCTAAAAAATATTATCATAACAACAATTTCTAAGACATTTTATAATATAATAACCATATTTAAATAAATACTGTTTGTTATAATACTTCATATTCAAACAATAAAAAATTATGCATATTTGCTATATTTTTATTGCATTCAATATAAAGATCAGAAACTGTATTTATTTCTTATTAATTTAAGATATCTTTGTTCAAAGATAGATATTATTTAAAAAAATGATGAAAATAAGGATATTCTCCTTCTTTTTCTATCTTCATTAATATTAAATAATATAAAAATTCATTCTCTATATTTATGTTACTTGATCATGTTCTAGATTTCATCAAGCACCTTAATTTTACTTTATTGGACTGATTTTTATTAAACTACAGTATTTTTCAAAACTTCTCTCTCTCCAAGTAATTTTTCATTTTCTAATAATTTTACTTTTTCTTCAAGCTATAAATTATTATTTATATATAAATTACAAATCGTTATTCATTTTCCAGATTTTTTGAATTCTATTTACTCTTCAAATATTTTGCTTTAAATTAATTAGTATTTTCTTCTTATAATTATAACTATCTTTTCAAATCATTTGCATTTCTCTTCCATTCATTTGCTTCTTCTCTAGCCACATGAACTTCAGTAACAAGAGAATCAACTTTCTTCTCAATATGTAAAATCTCCTATAAATTATAAATATTTAAATAATACTTATTCTTATTATTGTCTCATATAATCAATGTCTCTATCTTATTCATAAAGTAAATGTTATAATTTTCTATTCTCCTATTCACAAATCTCAATTTCATGAATTAATCTTTATTTTTCTTTTTAATCAATCTAATATTACACATCATATTTTGATAGTTTTTCATCTTAAATTTATAGTGTTTATCTATATTTCTCTATTTCTCCTTTTAATTCTCTTATTTCTTGAACTTTTAATTAAGCCTCATTAAGTGATTAGTCTGTTTTATGTTTTTAATCCTCAAGTAAAGACTATAATTTTAACTATTCTCCTTATAAATCTTAAATTTATTTATTAACTATAATATCTTCTTTTGATTTCTCTTATAATTTCTATTCTAATTATTAGATTTATGTTTGCATCTATTTTGTTTTTTATTTTTTTTTCTATAATGTATCTTATAATTCACTTATTATTCCTTATTTCTCTTAATCTAATTTTCCTTATAACATTAAATATCTTGTATCAGCTTATTTTAATTGTTCCTCTAAATCTTATACTCTCTTTCCTTAATTTTCAATAGTAATTTACAAAATCTTTTTCTCATCTAAGAATTCTTAAAATTTTGCACTTATCTTATTTGTATTATCTCTCTCTTCTTAAATCATCATTTCTAAATATCTTCTATCTTCTTCTTTTTAATCTAGTAATTATTTATATTGTTCATTTTCATCATTCAAACATATGAGTCTCTTCTCTGAATCTTTACTAATTAACAATTAATCTAATAATCTTACATTTCATTTGAAAACTCTTCGCATAATTTCTATACTCTCTCTAATTCTTATTGAAATCCTTATTTCTAATCTTCAAACTTACTCTAAAATCAATATCAAATGTATATTTACATCAATAGTTTTTTGTGAATCTTTTAATAATTGAATTTTAGCTTTCTTTTTAATCAATTTCTATTTAGCTTAAGATAATTAAGTTCTTAAATCTTCATTAATTCTTGATTATTAATCTTCCTTCAAAATCTATTCTTTCTATTCTTGTAATTGATTATAAAGATTTTCTTATTATTCTCTTAGTTCCTTTTCATACTTTTCAATAAGATCATCTTTTCCTCTTATTGCAGATTCCAGTTCTTTTGTTCGATCTATGTATTCTTTTAAAGTTAACTATTTTATTTAATTATTCAATTTTATACTTTAAGCTCTTTATTTAAGTTTCTCATTTTGCTATATTTGTCTCTTGACACATACTCCTTTTCCTTCTCTTCTTTAATATTTTTCTCTGAACGTATTGTCGTATCATTCTTCCCACCTGATTAATACAATTAATCGATGACTTATTTTGAACGATTATATCTCTCCAATAATCTTGAAAAGTCCTTTTCAATCTTTTCTGTCTGTCCATCTCTTGTATTCATTTTTAATATTCAAATTTATTAACTGATTTAAATTATCTAAAATAAGCAAATCACTAAATTTGTTTATTTTCATCAAAGACATCCTCTATTTAATTAAAATTGATCTAAAAATTGATAACATAATGCAGATTTTAAACAAAAATAAATAAAAAATTCAATTGTATAAATAAATTTAAATATTACTTTTAGTAGGTCATTTTAAACTTCCCTTTACATTTCCACATATTTATTTTTTGTTGATTCTAAAAAGGAATTAGTTGAAGTAATTAATTAAAAGTGTTTATTTAATGATATGATATTAAAAGATTGCCTATATTTTTTATTAGTAAAGAATTGTTTTCTTTACATTTTCTTAACTTTTAAATTTAATTTATTATTGAAATTATATTTCTATAAGTTATTGTCAATTATTCTTATAGTTTCCATTATTGAATTCCCATAAGTATGTTGATTTCAAGAGTGGCTGATTTATTATTTATTGGTTTTTTAAATTATTTAATTTTTACTCAAAAAAAATTTGTTTTACAATATTTTATAAGTAATTCTTAAGCATATTGTTAATCAAAATTTATATTTTAAAATAGATAAAGAAGTGTATTTCTATAAATTTAATCAAGTATGAACTCTTGCAATCTTAAATGATTAAATTTTATATTTAAATATATAAATGATTTGTATATTCTTACATACTTAATAATTTGTTCTATAAAAATTAAAAATTACTGTATTTATTTTATCATATAATTTCTTATATATTGATTAAATTATATACTTACTATTTATTTAATTTTAGCTTTATTCTCAAAAATCCTAAAATTAATTAACAAAACTATCAACACATTCTAATTTGAGTGAAGCAATAATTAAAACATCTATAAAAAGTTTTTATGAATTTTTAGTATCATTTAATTAAATATATATATATTTATTATTCTCTAACTGAATTATATGTTAAATTATCTATCAAATAAAAATTGTAAACATAATATTTTTTTTGAATAGGATCAGTTAAAAATGAATAAATCTATAACTATATAAATTAAAAATAAAGGAAAATTAATCCATTAAAACTTTTTTCTCTTCAGCAGTCAATTTCGAAGTCTTATCATTTATAAAATTTAAACCTTTGAAATTTATTAATATATTCTCTTTACCATTCTTAGTTATTTTAATTATTTCACAGCATATCTTTTGTTTATCGAATTCTTATTATCATTTTGACACATAATTATTTTTTCTACTTTTCAATGTAATTTTATTCATATCGAATTTAGAATTGTCTAAGTTCATTTTAGAAATATGTTTATGTTATAATTTTAAATTATGCCAAATTAAGGTAGAAAGAATTTTATTTATAGAAATTAAATGAATTTTGGATATATACTACTGATAAATTAATGCAGACTTATTTTTTGTTATTTGTATTAAGATGCACAAAGTTAGTTAATTTAATGAGAAATAATTATGTATTAGAAAAATTCTAGAAGCTTTTCTAATGTTTTAATTAAGTCATAATAGTTAGGAAAAATCTGTTTAAGAAATAATATATACACAATACTCACAATTATTTAATGGACTCTCAAATCAATTCTTCATCTGTCTCTTCATCGATTATCAGAAGTTAGCTTTGTTTTATTTGTTAATTCTTTCTGTATTTTTTAATTATATATAAAAAAAAGAAAGAGAGTTATTCTACACTGATTGTAAAAGGAATATTAAATTCATTCCTTATTATTAGATCTTTAAGTATGAGTTTCTCTTCCTCATTAACAAGTTTAAGCTCGCTTAAGGAGTGTAATGTTTAAAAACACATTCTAAAAAAGAATTCATTTATCATTTCTGAATAATAATATTAATATGCTTTTTTTATAAAAGTTAATTTACAATTTAAATTTTGAATAATAATCTATGAATTAATTAAGCCATCTTTTATTAATATATAAACTTTCCATAACTCAATATATTTGCAATTTCTGTGTTGCATACTGAAAATTGTTTACAGAATTGATAAATATATAAAACATATTATTCTTTTTTATTTAAGTAAATTATTATAATTAGAAAAGTAAAGATTTTTACAAAACACAATATTCAAGATCATAAAATACTATTTTTTAATATTTCCATTTTCAAATTACTTCTTAAATAAGTGCTTCAACATTATTCAGAAGGTATTTTCTTATAATTATTCCTATCTAATTTTAATAGCATTAACATTTCATTTGATTTTATGTTAGGTTTACTTTCTTCTTCTTCTTCTTTCATCCAATAATTTCTAGATCCATTTTTCTTATTAATTAAAGTGATCAATTTACAATTAGCTATTTATTTAATTCTTAAATATGTTCCTTATATTAATAAAACTCTCGCCCAATATCATCATTCATTTATTCTTTAATTTTATTCAACCATTAAACAACTCAAATTTAAATTTTCTCTTAATTATTGTAAATTTCTTCAAATATTATATTTTTATTAATAATCTAAATCTCTTAAAAGTTTGCTCTATTGATTTAAATATCTTTCAAAATGCTTTTAATATTCTTAATTTAAGTTCACTTTAACTTTGCTACTCACAATTCCCCTCTTTTAGTATTTCTATCAAATTTTACATAACTTATTCCATAGTATGTATATTGACAAATATAAGAATCATCAATTATTCAAAAATA